AATCGGATGATGACGATGATAAAGATGATGATGATGACGACGAATAATCGAGTAATAATGATGTTGATGATGAATCGCATGAGTATGATGATCAGGATGATGATAGAGATGATGATCATGATGAAGATGAAACTCATGACGACGGTGACGATGATGAGGATGATGTTGATGAAGACGATTATGGTGACGGTGATGATGAGAACGATGATTCGGATAATGCTGAAGATGACCCGGATGACATGGATGATGATGATGAGCATGATGATGAAGATGATGATGATGATGATTATAATGATGACGATCATGATGATGATGTTGTCGATGATGTTGATGATGTCCATGAATAAGATGATGATGATGATGATGATGACGATTCGGATGACGATGGATATTCAAATAAAGATGATGATAATTATTTCAAACATGATGCTGAAGATGATGACGATGATTCGCATGATTATGGTCATAACGATGGTGATCATCATGACGAGGATGTTTCGCATAATGATGATGCTGATGATGATTCGTTTGATGATGTAGATGAAGATGACGATGACCCTGATGATGACGATGACGATGATGATTTGCATTAGGATGATCATTAAGATGATGACCTTGATGACGAGGATGATTCGGATAATGATTGTGGTAAGGATGTTTTGGTTAACGATGATGATGATGATGCTGATGTTGATGATGATGACGATAACGATTCGGATGATGGAGATAGCGATTATAATGATGATGATTGTTCAGATAGGGATGATGATGATGAAGATGATGATGATTCGGATGATGATCTTCCGGATATTGATGATGATGCAATTTCGTTGCGATCATGTTGATGAGGAAGATGATGAGGATGATGATGATCTTCCTGATGACGAACGTGGTGGTTCGGTTGATGATGATGATGATGTTGCTATGGATCGTGATGGTGATGATTTTGTTGATGTTGCTGTTCAACCGCATGATGATATTTCGAATGATGCTGTTGATGAGGACGACTCGGACGCTGATGAATATGATGATGATGATGATAATGAGGATGACGATGATTCTCATGATGATGGTGATGGTGATGATGATGATAAGGGGATGAAGTTGACGACGATTCGGATGAGGATGACGAATATGAGGATTATGATGATTATGATGCTGAATCGGATGATGATTTTTCGAATGAAGTTGATGATGCTACTGCTGATGATGATAGTGCTGATCACTCGGATGATGATGATTATGACGATGATGATTATGATGTTGATAATCCTGATGATGACGAATACGATGATGTAGATGATGGCGATGCTGATGGTGATTCGAATGATGATGATGACGATGATCCGGATGTAGATGATGATGATGATGACGGTGATGAGGATGATGATGATGATTGTGACGATGATGGTGATGTTGACGACAATACTGATCAGGATGTTGATGATGATTCGGATGATGATGATGATGTTTCGGATGATTATGACGATGATGATGATATTGCTGATGATGATGAAGATGATGATTATAAAGATGATGATCAAATGATGGTGAATCGAATGACGATGATGATGTTGATGACGACTGTAAAAGACGGTAAAAGTATGCCAATTTTGTATCACTTTTTCATGAGATGCTTTTTTCAATGACCC